ATACAGCACCCTTAGTATATGCTCTACAAATTTTATTTTTGAAGAAAAGCAAAACTTGTTTATAAAGGGGGGCCACGAGGGGGTGATTAGCAACACTTCGTGCAATATTTGCATCTTAAGAATATAAAATTGAAGGGGAAAAAAAGAAGAACAAATAGCAATAGAGTCACTACAATCGACCATGGACGACTAAAAATTTGCCAAAAAAAGAACCTTGACATTGATTTTTTTTTCAAGATCAGGGGTGAAATTTTTCAAAACAATCAAACACAAGAAAGTCTAGATTTATAAAATTTGTTCTGCAGTTCGCTCACATGGAGTGCTACTAGATTTGAGAAAACATAATGAACTTGATGTATAATCAAGGTCACAGGAGTCAACCTTGTTAAAACTCTTCTGAATAATGGAAAAAAAACTATGTGTTTTGCCAGTAAATTTTATTCATGGAATACTACAAAGTTTACAAAAAGGTAATGATCTTGACCCATATTCAAGATTACAGGGGTCAAATTTATGTAAATGCTTGAAGAACTTCCTCTGAATAGGTGAGAGACCTAGAGTCATATCTTTCCAGTATTTTGCTCTTATGGAGTGCTACAAAGTTTGCAAACACATTTACATTAACATATATATAAGGTCATGCATGTAAGGGTTTGATTTGTCATAATACTAGCGAATTTCTGTGAAGAACTGGAGGACTTAGTATAAGTAACCGTTTGGCATGAAGGGCTAGAAAGTTTGACAAGAAAGACCACATTGATCAGGTGAGTGTCTGGAGGCCCCTTTTGGCCTCTTGTTTTAAAAACAGAATTCCCTCAATAAAGTACACATGCATTATACATAATTGCACACAATGAGCAAATATTTATGAAGAATGGAAAAACCTAAATCATGATATATGTATTTGGCCACAGGTAACCTCAGCATAGAGTGCAGTCAAATTTGAAGAGAGAAATGTTTTTGACCTATATTCAAAGTCATAGGGGTCAGATTTGTTAAAAGAAAAATAACCTTGTCATATTTTTAATGTCACGAGGGTCTGATTTGTCAACATACTAAAATGACTTTCTATGAAGAACTAAAAGGCTTGGGATAATGATAATTAATCAGCAGCTATAATGCTGGCATGAAGTGCTGGAAAGTTAAACGAGAATGGCCACATTAATCAGGTGAGTGTCTTCAGGACCTTTGGGCTTCTTATAAGGTCTCATAAGATCTATTGCTGTAGCATTTCGTTCATCATCTGCAATTAACATCCTTGACTTCTTCTTGAGTGCTACAATTTTTTAAGAGAAAATTAAAATTGTGATAGTAATGCCCCTTAAGGAAAGGATATAGTTTAATATAATTAATTAAAGGAAATAACACTTCGGTAAAATATATTTAAAACAGCATCTTTTGAAAAAAAGGCCCAGTGTAATGGTATCTGGAAGCTAGCATGCTGGAGTAATGACTGCTACCAAATTTCTTCAAATGAATTACCTTGACCCACTTTCAAGGGCACAGGGTAAATAGTTTTAAAAACTATTCTTCTAAAACAACAAAAAGCCCAAGATATGTTTTGCCATTAGCCTTCAGGAATGAAGGGCTTTCAAGTTAATTCAAATCAACTACCCTGACCCTCTTTCAAGGTAATAGGGGTCAACTACATTAAAACCTTTATATACAACTTTTTCAGAATTCTAGGGTGATGATATTTAGCCAGTTACATACTGGAATGAAGAGTTATAAAATTTGTTCCAATGAATAGCCTTTACCCAATGGCATAGTGACAGTGGTAAATATATTAAAATTGTAAGATGAAGAAGCCTTGGGTAGTTATTAGCTCACCTGCCCGAAAGGGAACTTCGCTAAATTTGCTTTAAAACACATCTCCTACTTAACACCAGTGCGGATTTCAACCAAATTTAGTCTGAAGCATCACTAGTTGAGGGCAATCATTTCTTAAATTCATGAGGTTGGTTCGACCCCTGAGGCCAGGGGGCGGGGCCCTGAAGAGGAACTTAGCTAAATTTGCTTTAAACGCATCTCCTCCTAATCACCAGAGAGGATTTCAACCAAATTTAGTCTGAAGTATTAGTAGGGATAGGCAATTATTTCTTAAATAAATGAGGTTGGTTCGACCCCTGAGGCCAAGGGGGCGGGGCCCTGAAGAGGAACTTAGCTAAATTTGCTGTATAGCGCATCTCCTGCTTAACGCCAGAGAGGATTTCAACCAAATTAAGTCTGAAGCATCACTAAGGAAGGGCAATCATTTCTTAAATATATGAGGTTGGTTCGACCCCTGAGGCCAGGGGGGGTGGGGCCCTGAAGGGGAACTTAGCTATATTTGCTTTAAAACGCATCTCCTCCTAAAAGCCAGAGAAGATTTCAACCAAATTTGCTCTTAAACTTCTTTGGGTGAGGGCAATCATTTCCTAAATTCGACCCCTGGGGATAGGAAGACCAGGCCCCAAAGAGGAAAATTATCTAAAATTATGCTTCAAGACGCTAAAATCCCCTAATTGCCTGCAAACATTTCTTAATTGAATGAGGTTGATTTGTCCCCTGCGGTCCTAAGAAATGGTACAGCTAGATTATCATATTCTATGGTGTAGTTTTTATAAATTGTTAAAAATTGGTTTCTAGGTTTATAAAAGCTTATAGTTGAATGAAAATTAAAATATTGTCTAATTACACTCTGTAATATGACATATTACTTATTTCAAAATCTGTTTACATGGCAACTTAATGGAGGCCCCTGATTAGTTGAAAGTCAGATATTGTGGTCCCAGTTAGGTTAGAACATAGATCTTGTCTGGATTTGAGGAAATTTCATATAAAGATGTACTAATGCATTCAGTTGTAATGACTTAAATATAAAACCAGGTGAGCGATACAGGTCCAATGGACCTCTTGTATTTGGCAAGTTGCATACTATGGTAAAAGACTATCTAGTTTGTTAGCTCACCTGCCTGAAGGGCAAGTGAGCTTATGTCGTTGTGCGGCGTCCGTCGTCCGTCCGTCCTCGTCCTTCAACCTTTCCTTTAAACAACTTCCCCTGAAGAACGGACAGGCCTATAGTCATGATATTTGATGAAAGCTTTGTTGGTAGGAGCCCTACAAAGTTTGAGAACGAAAATGACCTTGACCTACTTTAAATGTCACAGGGGTCAAATATTTCAAAAACTTCAAACGACTTCTTTTGAAGAACTAAAAGGTATAGAATCTTCATATTTGGCAGATGGCTTCCTGGGATGGAGCTTAACAAAGTTTGAGAATGAAAATGACTTTGACCTACTTTCAAGGTAACAGGGGTCAAATGAGTCAAACACTTCAAATGACTTCTTCTGAAGAACTGAAAGGTATAGAATCTTTATATTTGGCTGGTGGCTTCCTGGGATAGAGCCCAACAAAGTTTGAGAATGAAAATTAGTTTGACTTACTTTCAAGGTCACAGGGGTCAAATATGTCAAAAACTTCAAACAACTTCTTCTGAGGAACTAAAAGGTATAGAATCTTCATATTTGGCTGATTGGTTCCTGGGATGGAGCCCAACAAAGTTTGAGAATGAAAATTACCTTGTTCTACTTTCAAGGTTATAGGGGTCAAATGTGTTAAAAGCTTCAAATGACTTCTTCTGAAGAACTGATGTATAGAATCTTTATATTTCATTGATGGCTTCCTTGGATAGAGCCAGACAAAGTTTGAGGAAGAAAATGACCTTGACCTTCTTTCAAGGTCACAGGGGTCAAATGTGTCAGACACTTCAAACGACTTCTTCTGAACAACTGAAAGGTATAGAATCTTTATATTTGGCTTGTAGCTTCCTAGGAAAGAGCCAAACATAGTTTGCGAATGAAAATGACCTTGACCTACTTTCAAGGTCACAGAGGTCAACAACATTTTAATGGATTTGTTCTTAAGAACTAAACGGAATGGATTCATAAGATTCGGCTGGTAGCTTTTGGAATAGGGCTTACCAATTTGAGTAGGAAAATGGAATTGACCTACTTACAAGGTCACAGGGAAAAACATGTCAAGCAACTTCTGAAGAATCAAAAAGCATAGAATCTTTTAATAATATTTTGCTGGTAGTTTCAAAAGATGGAGCCAACAAAGTTTGCGAGGGAAATATTTTTAGCGCAACATAATATTTAATGAGAATATTTTGCTATGACTGCTTAAATAGTCAGGTGAGCGATACAGGCCTTCTTGGGCCTCTTGTTCAAATGAATGACCCTGATGTAATTTAATTGAAGGTCATATGTTTAAATTTGTTAAATGTTTAATTGACTTTAAAATAATAGAGGCCAGCTGAAGTTCATGATATTTTGCGATGTTTGTTAATAGTGTAAATTAATATGATGTGTTAGAAGTGAATAAATGGCAATACAAACGATCCTTGTTTATATCGATAAAAAAAATATCCAAAAAGTGTATAGCTTGTTTTAACAGCTGAAAGTGTTTCTTATACTCTTTTTGATAAAAATGCATCATATCCAACAGAATCAAAATTTCAAAATATAAAAACAGGTGAACTATGAAGGCCCCAATGACCACTTGTCATATTTGACCAGTCACCTGCATGGATGAAGTGATCACATCTGGTGATTATTACTTGTAATGTTCTTTCTCGAGGTCACGTATTCCCAAACCTTGTTTGTTCAAATGAATGACTTAAAGGTTGTTAGTGTGAGATTATCAGCAGGTGAGTGGTTCAGGCCCATTGGGCCCCTTGTTTTAATGTTCAGATTATACACAGAAGATTTAGGTTCCAATATGCATTCCTCTTCCTATGAATTAAGTACCGCAGAGCTTAGTAAATAAGGAACACCTGCAAATTTGCCTGTGAAATTGGCCACACAAACAGAGCCTCTGAGAGGTGAAATTGGGATGTGGACAATTAATTACAAGTGAGGCTTGAATTTTCTAAATACAAATATCTAATACATATAATTAGCTTTCAACATTATGCATATTATCTGTTTAATTAATGTACTTGTTCATACAGGTAAAGGCGAGAAGAAGAAAGCCAAGGTTGGAAAAGAGAAATATGGTATGTTAATATTTGCATTCTTAAAGCCTGACAGTGCAAGTTAAAAAGCTTTCAATTGAGATGAAATAAATAAAAATAAAAATAAAAATCTGGTTTTGAGATCTGCCCAATATCTTCCGACTATCGTTTTTAAGGAAGTGCCGACATTTTAAGTTTTTCCTGGCTTGGTAACGAGTATGGGTCTCACTGGGTATAAAAAGTACAGTACCTGTCAAACCGTGTTATCATTCTACAAGTGACCATCTTGCAATTCAATGCACCACGCACCCTGACTGGCAACCGATATAAAAAATCAAACACTGTACTCACCTGAACAATTTGAAAAACTGCCAAGCTGGTTGTGCGCAGTACTTATGGCATATTCTTAAAAATTGTGTATCCAAAATAAAAGGTATATTACTGAACATAATTCTATTTATCCCACACATAACATCGGTCTTTCTCGTGCATAGAACTGCACCAACTCACGAAAAAAATGTTATGAACTCTTAGTCCTCGACGTGTAGACACTTTCCTAGCAAAACACGTGCAAAATGTGACACTCCCAGCATAGGGACCTGATCATTTGTTACAGCTATATTTGGACCTACACTAAGGTGTTCAGAGTAATTTTACATGTTTTAGGGGTTCAGATAGACTTTCATTCAAAATGGCACCCTCAATGATCATATATAGGAGAAAGGTGAAAAGCTCTGGATGTCGAAATGTCGACCCCACCTAACTTTCTTGCATCAAAAACAACATTTCTAGTTGATGTACAGGAAAATGCTAAGTACTGTTGGAAAGATGGATAATTGTTCTTTTAAAAACATCCTATATGCATGTAAAATGTATTCCCCTTCTGCGGACATGAACTCTGTTTCCTCCAAAAACACATGCTATTTCAGAGTTTCAAAGTTTTTCGCAGTCAGCCTGCCACTTTTTAGCTCACCTGGCACGAAGTGCCAAGTGAGCTTATGCCGTGGCGCGGCGTCCGTCGTCCGTCCGTCGTCCGTCTGTCTGTCCGTCCGTCCGTCCGTCCGTCAACTTTTCCTTTAAACAACTTCTTCTGAAGAACGGACAGGCCCAGAGTCATGATATTTGGCTGAAAGCTTCGTTGGTAGGAGCCCTACAAAGTTTGAGAACGAAAATGACCTTGACCTGTTTTTAAGGTCACAGGGGTCAAATATGTCAAAAACTTCAAACGACTTCTTCTAAAGAACTAAAAGGTATAGAATCTTCATATTTGGCTGATGGCTTCCTGGGATAGAGCCCAACAAAGTTTGAGAATGAAAATGACCTTGACCTACTTTCAAGGTCACAGGGGTCAAATGTGTCAAACACTTCAAACGACTTCTTCTGAAGAACTGAAAGGTATAGAATCTTTATATTTGGCTGGTGGCTTCCTGGGATAGAGACCAACAAAGTTTGAGAATGAAAATTAGTTTGACCTACTTTCAAGGTCACAGGGGTCAAATATGTCAAAAACTTCAAACGACTTCTTCTGAAGAATTAAAAGGTATAGAATCTTCATATTTGGCTGATGGCTTCCTTGGATGGAGCCCAACAAAGTTTGAGAATGAAAATTACCTTGACCTTCTTTCAAGGTCACAGGGGTCAAATGTGTCAAACACTTCAAACGACTTCTTCTGAAGAACTGAAAGGTATAGAATCTTTATATTTGGCTGGTGGCTTCCTGGGATAGAGCCCAACAAAGTTTGAGAATGAAAATTAGTTTGACCTACTTTCAAGGTCACAGGTGTCAAATATGTCAAATGCTTCAAACGACTTCTTCTGAAGAACTGAACGGTATAGAATCTTTATATTTGATTGATGGCTTCCTGGGATAGAGCCCGACAAAGTTTAAGGATGAAAATTACCTTGATCTTCTTTCAAGGTCACAGGTGTCAAATATGTCAATGCTTCAAACGACTTCTTCTGAAGAACTGAACGGTATAGCATCTTTATATTTGATTGATGACTTCCTGGGATAGCGCCTGACAAAGTTTGAGGATGAAAATGACCTTAACCTTCTTTCAAGGTCACAGGAGTCAGATATGTCTAATGCTTAAAACGACTTCTTCTGAAGAACTGAAAGTTATAGAACCTAAATATTTGGCTTGTAGCTTCCTGGGAAAGACCCCAACAAAGTTTGGGAATGAAAATGACCTTGACCTACTTTTAAGGTCACATGAGGCAGATATGTAAAATAGTTCAAATGACTTCTTCAGAAGAACTGAATGGTATAGAACCTTAATATTTGGTTGGTTATTTCCTGGGAAAGAGCCCAACAAGGTTTGCGAATGAAAATGACCTTGACCTACTTTCAAGGTCACAGGAGTCAGATATGTCTAATGCTTAGAACAACTTCTTCTGAAGAACTGGAAGTTATAGAAACTTAATATTTGGCTGGTTATTTCCTGGGAAATAGCCAAATAAAGATTGCGAATGAAAATGACCTTGACTTATTTTCAAGGTCACAACATTCAAATATTTCAAACGGTTCAATCTACTTCTTCTGAAGAATTAAAAGGCATAAAATTATAATATTTGGCTGGTGAATTCCTGGGATAGGGCTCACCAAGGTTTGCGAATGAAAATGACCTCAACCTACTTTAGAGGTCACAGAGGTCAACAACATTTTAAAGGATTTGTTCTTAAGAACTAAAAGAAATGGATTCATAAGATTTGTCTGGTAGCTTTTTGGAATAGAGCTAACCAATTGGAGAAGGAAAATGACATTGACCTACTTACAAGGTCACAGGAAAAAATATGTCAAACAACTTCTGAAGAAGAATCAAAAAGCATAGAATCTTATAAAAAAAATGCTGATAGTTTCAACAGATGGAGCCAGCAAAGTTTGCGAGTGAAATATTTTTAGTGCAATATGATATTTAATGAGAATATTTTGCTATGACTGCTTAAATATTCAGGTGAGCAAATCAGGCCCTCTTGGACCTCTTGTTGTTATGTTTCTTATTCTTATTAGGGCTTTTCACCAACTGGCGAAAAGACCTTTTGTTTTTGTTATGTTTCTCCTTATTATTATTCTCCCCAATTTGTGAATTCTGTATCTTTTGATTGGTAAACGATAGGTTTATAGTCTTTAAGGCATGTTGTAGGAAAAGGTCTGAAGATGATCAAGCAACATTTTGAAGTAGGTTAAATATCCAATATGGCCGCCATGACTTCATACCTAAAAATCTTAAAATGGCCATAAAAGTTTTTCTGTAACATTCACCGTTAACGTCCTATGGCGTGTTCATTATTGTCTATGAACTTTTTTGGAAAATCCGACACTATTTTTACAAACTTCAACGATCTTCTTCTCCAATTCTGCCATTGCAATATTAACCACAATTAGTACATACATTCCTCAGGGGGCCCTTATGAACTAATGTTTCTTTTTGAAGCAATACAAATCCAATATGGCCGCCATGACGTCATACCTCAAAATCTTAAAATGGCTATAACGCAAAACGGTTGAATTTACAGCCTTTATGCACGAATGTTATATGTAGATAATCTTCAGGGCTAACTTTTTTCCATTGTATGTTATTACATTAAAGGTCAAATAAAAAAGCTCGCTGTTTGGTCAAAAGTCACAATTTTTTTAATTTTTTAATTTTTGACTTTTTTGAAAAAATCTTTTCCAGGTCAATGCACAATGTCATTCCGATTAATTTGATGTTTTTAGTTTTTCTGTTACATTTACCGGTAACGTTGTACGCCATTCTGAATATTTCCTTCGATCTTTTAAAAAGCTGACAATATGTTAAAATTTCAACGATCGTCTTCTCCAATTCTGCCATTGTAATGATAACCAAAATTGGTACATATATTCCTCTGGGGGCCCTTCCGAACTTATGTTTCTTTTTGGAGCAATCAATATTCTAAGATGGCCGCCACAAACTCTGATTGGTTAACAGCCTATACCAATATATTTTGTTAACGATATCAAGCGCAAGTTGATCTTTGGATATCATATAGAGATAAGCAAGAGCAAACTTTTTCGTTTATACTGTTTTAACAAAATATGTCAACTTCCGGTTTCCGGCAGGGGTCAAAGTTAAAATTCACTATATTTGGTACCAACCTTAAAAAATCTTCTTAAGTTCAACAAAGTCTAGAGGCTTGATATTTAATAATAAAGAATCTGAGATGTCGGGGTATCAGGTTTGAAAAATTAGTTGACATTGATCAACTATCAAGGTCACAATCAAGGTCACAAACTTCATATGTGCTATTTCAAGATAACAACTTCAAAGACTTCTTCTAAAGTTCTACAAGGCCTAGAGTCCTACTATTTGATACATTAACATGGTCAGATGATTGACTATCAAGTTTGAAAAAATGATTGACCTTGAATGACTTTCAAGGTCACAGAGGTCATATGTGTAAACATATTGAAACCACTTTTTCTGAATAACCAATAACTCCAGGGTAACAATGTTTGACAAAGAAGCATGCTTGAATGAAGGGCTTTAAAGTGTGTGCAAATGAACGACCTTGACCTACTCCAAATATAATTTCAAAGGTGAAACTCAAAAGCCGTTGTCATTTTTGTGCGATTGTCAAGTGCTTTCAGGACTCTCAGTACTTTGAATTGTATCAAGAAATCTAATACACGCTGGTAATGCTACATCGATTACTACGCACTGTCAATCTTAAAAGTAGGGACAGGTTACATCTCTACTGCGGTGGGTAAACATCAGCCTTTCTTTGGCATGGCAAACCCAACCGATATAGACAAAAACCTATTTCAATAAATCGTCCTGACGTACATAGTGGACGGACTTTATGACTACAATTACGGACTACATTCGTACACAACTAAGCCCATTGGCTGCCGTTATTTATCCAGTCTTTCTCCGACGTCATTTCGCACTCCGGGAATCCCCCACTTCTCAGTCAGCTACTGTAAACTTGCACAGGTTATTATTAAAAAGCCAAATCAGTCCATACAGTGAAAAGCCCGTCAAATTGTTAGCTAACAATTTCTAGTTCTTATTATTCTTCTT